TTGAGACGGAGTTTCGCTCTTGTTACCTAGGCTGGAGTGCAATGGCGCGATCTTGACTCACCGCAACCTCCGCCTCCTGGGTTCAGGCAATTCTCCTGCCTCAGCCTCCTGAGTAGCTGGGATTACAGGCACGCGCCACCATGCCCAGCTGATTTTTTGTATTTTTAGTAGAGACGGGGTTTCACCATGTTGACCAGGATGGTCTCGATCTCTTGACCTCATGATCCACCCGCCTCGGCCTCCCAAAGTGCTGGGATTACAGGCGTGAGCCACCGCGCCCAGCCACATTTTTCTCACTTTAATGGAATTAAAGATAGGAAAACTGGAAGCTTAAAGCTTTGGGCATTTGTTGGACAATGTCTAACCTCCCCCCATCCCTAGGTCCCTGCACCCCAGCCAAAGAACTATGAATAAGGTTGAAATAATTTTTTTTTTAACTACCTAGAACCCTGGATTTTCGTTTTTGAGACAGGGTCTCGTTTTGTCTCATAGGCTAGAGTGCAGTGGCTCAGTCATGGCCCACTGCAACTTTGACCTCACAGGCTCAAGCAATCCTCCCACCTCAGCTCTCAAAGTGCCAGAATTATAGGTGTGAGCCACTGTCTGGTCAAGTAATTCTTTAAAGCAAAACAAACAAAAGCCAGGGGTTCTTAATCTGGGGGTCTATGGAACAGGCCTCAAGGAACCCTGGTGTTCTCTGAAATTATTAGTAAAAGAGTAAAATGTGTATTTTTCTAGGAAGAAGATTCACACATTTCATGTTTATTCTCAAAGGGGTCTGCAACTCCATTTAGAAACACTGTCTAGACGTACATTAGGTGCTATGAGGACACGCATAAATAAGAAGTTCTGCCAAAAGGAATGAGGAAAAGCTGTAATAAGATATAAAAGCTGAATTGTCAAAGAAGAATGGGGCTCAGCCAGCCAGAGAGAGGACCAAGACAAAAGCAGGAGGAAAGGCAAGTTGGTAGGAAAGTTAACCACATGTTCGGGAAACAGTTAACTAGCAACATGACAATATTATCTCCTTCCTACCCACCCCCCTCCCCGATTTGTTTATCTCTTTTAATTCTTTTTTCTTTCTTAGAACACCTTTAAGCTACCTTTTGTCCAAGCCTTTCTTAGTCTGTTTTCCCTGGGCAATCTCGTTCAATCTCAAAGGCTTTTCTCCTACAACCTATTTATCAGCTCTATTTTCACAGCTGTCATGCAACATTAATAAAAATACTTATTAAGCAATTTCTAATGTACAAGCATGATGTTAAGATTTACATGTGTTATTTCCAGAAAACTAGTAAGGTAGGAACTCAAACATAAGGGGATTTAAGAGATCTCTAGTGACCTCTGACACATCAGTTCTATGGGGTAAGGAGCTAATACAGAAAAAGACTCAAGAGGGAGAATGAATTGATTCTCCATAGTGGCTTTCCTAACACTGTCCCTCTGAGCACCATCACCCTAATTCCCTCCGTAACACCTAACACAATCTTCTACGTTGAGAAAATAGGCACAAACAACTACAGCTTCTGCTGGATGCTTTCCAAACTATGGAAGGATAGATCTCTCATACCGTCCTAAAGCTCATCCAACCTCATCATTCCATGTATTCCAAGATTTTGTCAATTCGTTTTCCCTCTCTTGAATCTTCCCCACCCCCGACAGGCTCCAACTTCTAAACATGGTTAAGCCCCCTAAAGCATCCTTTTCTCAATCCTATTTCTTTCTCAGTGTATTCTTTCCTTTTCCACTAACATAAGATTTTTTGAAAGATTAGAATAACCTACATCTGTTACTTTTAATTGGATGCTCAGGAGGGGGGTAATGACGCCAGGAGAAAAAATGTTAGAATATTTGAAGAAATGAAGCTTCAGATAGCCACTATGGAAAACAGGAATAAGAACTAATAGTTTTATCCATTTTCTAGTCCCAAATCTCTCTGAGACTAGTAATAGCTATGCAACTTCTCCCTTGAAAAATGCACACACACAGGCAAAGTTTCCATATAATTTCAAGGGGCTCACTGGAAACCTAACCACCAAGCAAAAGCAGGTTAGGATTTCTGTATTAGACATAAATACTAAAAGACTATTAATCAGGGCCAGGCACGGTGGCTCATACCTGTAATCCCAGCACTTTGGGAGGCTGAGGTGGGTGGATCACCTTAAGTCAGGAGTTTGAGACCAGCCTGGCCAACATGGTGAAATTCTGTCTCTACTAAAAATATAAAAATTAGCCGGGTGTGGTGGTGCATGCCTGTAATTCCAGCTACTAGGGAGGATGACGCAGGAGGATTGCTTGAACCTGGGAGGTGGAGACTGCAGTGAGCTGAGATCACGCCATTGCACTCCAGATTGGGCAACAAGAGCAAAAAGGATCCAGCCTAGGATGTCTGTTGTTTCTAAGGAACACAGTATTGACAATACACTGATTAACCAGGCATTACCAAAATTGTGTTCAGTAAAGTAGGTAATGTACTAATGGGGCAAAGTAGGCTTTGGTTTCGAATCCTGGCTCCACATCTTACTTAGCTGGGCCTTAGACCCTAGCAGACGTCAGCTTTCTCATTCATTTAAAGGAAGAGTAGTATATATATCCCTTGCAGGGCAGATGAAAATGTAGCAGAATTTTTTTAAAGTGAAAAATTTAAATTTAAGGTGTCCTTTTCCCCCCTTTTTGCCTTTTCTTTGTTTTACATTAAAAACAATTTTTCCTTTACTGCTAAGCCAGTGATACTCACTGACTCATGGAGGAGGTTACATAGGATCTAGAGCGCAGAATCATTGCTAGGTTTGAGGTGTTTGTTTTTGAGGTATAAAAAACATGTAATGAAATGCATAAATTGCATAAATCTGAAATATATAGCTCAACTGAATTGTCATATACACCAGTATAACCACCACTCAGATCAAGATATAGAATATTTTTATCACTCCAAAGTGCTCTATCATATCCCCTTTCAGTTAGCAATGCCACCACTACCACCACACTTTGAAGTAACCACTATTAGGATGACCATGAATTGATTAGCTTTTTCCTGTTTCTGGCCTACTTCACTCAACATAATGTCTGTGAGATTTATCCATGTTGTTGTATTGGTTTTCATTATAAGAACACCCAATTTTAAAATTTATTCTGTTGATCAATATTTGTTTGTTTTCAGTTTGCACTATTATGAATAAAGCCACTGTGAACATTCTCGTACACCTCTGTTGTTAGGCAAAAACACTCATAACTTTTAAGCATAACCCAGGACTGAAATTGCTGGATCAGAAGGTAGGCATAAGTTTCTCTTTCAAGGAAACTGCCTGTTTCCTAAAATAGCTTACTACATTCCCATCAGCAGTGTATGGGAGTTGCAATTGCTGCACTTGATTTGGCATTTTAATTACTGCTGTTCTGGAGAGTGTGTAGTATTATCTCATTGTGGTTTTGATTTGCCTTTTCTTGATGAATAATAATGTTGGGCATCTTTTCATATGTTAATTATCCATTCAGAAATTCTTTTGTATGATGTGTGTCTTAAAGTTCTTGGCCATTTTAAAAATGGGGCTGACTTTTTATTATTAATAATAGGCATTAAGTATTCTACATACTAGGTCTTCATCAGATGTACGTAATGCAAAGATTATCTCCCAGTCTATGGCTTGCTTTTTCACTCTCTTAATATCTTGGATAAATAGTACTTCCTAAGTTTAATTTTGTCCAATTTATCACTTCTTTCCCTTATAGTTAGTACTTGTGGAAAGAAAATTTTATCTACATCAAAATCATAAAGATACTTTCTCTCATTTCTTCCCCTAAAATCTTTGTTTTACCTCCTTAGCTCTAAAATATATCTAGAATTACTTTTGGTATATGGTATGAAAGCAGTGTCAAGATTTGCTCTTTATCGAAAGATCATTCTTTCCCCATTAAATTGCATCAGTGCCTATGTAATCAATACAGTGACTGTATATGTGTAGACTT